GGTTGTAAGCTTCAGTTTATCCATCGGTTTCGGGATGGTACGCAGTGGTCATGCGCAATTTTTTTAACCATAAAGAGTAAATAATTACTGCCAGAATTTGCTGATAAACAAAGGATCACAATCTGATATGAGGCTGCGAGGCATGTCATGTATTTCGCCAACGGTATCAAAGAAACTCAAAGCCAATTTGTCTATAGTAAAGTGTTGGATAAGTGCAGCTAAAAGGACGCCATTGGAGAAAAGATCCACCACAACTAGTATAGCAGTATGCCCATTAAAGGGGGTAGGGTTGTGATGAAATCAAGGGATAGATCTTCCCTAATGCACTTAGGGGGATCGGGTACTATAGTATTTGTTCCCAAATCTGTTGTTTAAATTTTTTTTCGTATTTGAGTCCATACCCGCATGGGCACCAATGTTTTGTACCTCTACCTATACCTTACGAGTATTTAATGATGAAGTTACAATAGATGGGGGAACTAGTCCCTTTTGCTTTACTTGCAGGTGCTGAACCAATCAACTATAGCGAAGCCTTCAAAGATAAACAATGGAAGTCTGCTATGGTCGAAGAGTTACAAGCAATTGAAAGAAACAACACATGAGAGTTGGTCGAATTGTCAGCTCATACAAAAGTTATCAAAGTAAAGTGGGTGTTCAAGTTGAAGCACAATGTTGATTGGTCGATAACAAGGCATAAGGCGAGATTGATAGCTCGATGATTTCTCTAGAGAGCAGTACTCGACTACTCTAAAGTGTTTTCTCCTGTCGCAAGATTGGAAACTGTTCGACTAGTGGTGACCTTGGCATGCAAGCAAGATTGGTCAACATTTCACTTAGATGTGAAATCAGCATTTTTGAATGGATCTTTAGAAGAAGAGGTGTACGTCACACAACCTCCTGGGTTTGTGATTCAGGAGGAAGCAAGTAAAATATATAAGTTGCACAAAATGCTTTATGGTCTCAAGTAGGCACCTAGGGCATGGAACAAAAAGATCGACTCATACTTGGTTGAATTGGGATTCGTAAAATGCAAATCTAAGTATGGTGTCTATGTTCAAGTTATGGCACAAGATATAACAATAATCTGCTCGATGACTTGCTAGTAACTAGAAATAGTCTGAAGAACTTGTCGAAGTTCAAAGAGCTGACGAAGAAGGAATTTAAAATGTCGAATCTGGGAAAGTTATCATACTTCCTAGGCATGTAATTTCAAATGTCGAAGTAAGGCATGGTGCTATATCAAAGAAAGTATGTCAAAGAGATACTCAAGAGATTCATAATGGATTATTCGGCTCCTGCATCTTCGCCTATCGAACCAAATTTAAAGTTGGAGAAGCGTGGAGAGGAAGACAAAGTCGATGCAACTTTGTTCAAAAAGATTGTCGGATCTCTAAGATATGTGTGTAACAGTCGACCTGATATATGTTTCTCAGTCGGACTAGTGACGAGATACATGAGTGAACCAAGGGTGTCACACATGAAGGATGCAAGAAGAATCATGAGATACTTAAAAGGATCGACAAACTATGGAATTTTATTTTGAAGAGACTCTGAAAGCAAAGAAGATATGGTTACTTGTTATTCAGATGCTGTCTAGTGAGGAGATAAGGAAGATCAAAGAAGCACTACTAGATATTTCTTTCAAGTATTTGGTGCCCCAATTTCATAGTGCTCGAGAAAGCAACATGTGGTGGCGCTATCATCATGTGAAGTGGAATATAAAGCAGGATCATATGTTGCATGTCAATAAATTTGGATCATATCGGTATTGAAGAAATGGAAGTCAAAGTGAAGAAACCTCTTGTGTTGCAAATCGACTACAAGTCTGCCATAAATACGGAGAAGAATCCAGTTCTGCATGGAAGAAGTAAGCATATCGAAGCTAGATTTCACTTCTGAAGGGAAAAGGTAAATCGAGGTGAACTTGAAGTTAGACACTGTTCAAGTGAAGCACATTTGGCCGACATTTTCACCAAAGGATTGAAGATTGGCATATTCCTGAATTTGAGAAAGAAATTAGAAATAGTTCAGATCGACTATGATTAGCATAGGTTCGACAACTTGGATTATGGGGGGTATGTTGAAATATTAGATTAGATTAGATATGATTAGATTAGATTAGATTAGATTTTATTATATTTAATATTAAAATATAATCCAAGTCATAATATAATTAGGGTTGCATCTGTCACAAGATTGGTTACGATACAATTTTCAATCTTGCGACAGGTGCAAATACTTCAGAGTAGTCGAGTCCTGCTCTCTGGAGAAATCATCGAGCTACCAATCTCGCCTTATGCCTTGCTATCGACCCATCAACATTGTGCTTCGACTTAAACACCCACTTTACTTCGATAGCTTTTGTATGAGCTGGCAATTCGACCAACTCACATGTGTTGTTTCTTTCAATTGCTTGTAACTCTTCGACCATAGTAGACTTCCATTGGTTATCTTTGAAGGTTTCGCTATAGTTGATTGGTTCAACACCTACAAGTAAAGAAAAATGGACTAGTTCCCCATCTATTGTGACTTCATCATCACCAACCACTTCATAGTCTTAAAGTCTTGTTGGACGAGCTCTAGTTCTTTGAGGTCTCTGACTTGTGTCAGCCATAACCTCTTCGACTTTGACTGTGTCAAGAATGTAAACAATTGCTTCGACTCCTTCTTTGACTGGAGTATCAACAATATCTTCGACTTCGACATCATTACTTGCTTCGTCAAAATCATTGCTTATCAGCTGCATTACTAGAATTCCAATCCTAGTTATAATTTTTATCAATCACAATGTTTCGACTCATCACAACCTTCTAATTAATTGGATTGAACACTTTGCATGCTCCAGTCTTATGATATCTTACCAGAATCATAGGTTCACTCTTATCATCAAGCTTCTTTCTCCTGACATTAGGAATATGCTTGTAGAAAATAGAGCCAAACACCTTCAAATGACTCACTGATGGTCGTTTTCCACTCCACATTTCTTCAGGAACCTTGTTCTTCAACTTCTTGGTAGGACACCTATTCAGAATATAAACAACAGTCGAAACAGCTTCTTCCTGTAAAGATTTTGGCAAATTTTTTTGCTTCAACATGCATCTCGTCATGTCTAATATGGTCATGTTTTTTCTTTCTGCTATTCTATTATGTTGAGGAGTATAAGGAGCAATTATCTTCCTAACCACCTTACCAATACAACTTATAATATTTTATAAAAATTATCAAATTTTAAATTAAACTCTATAACTCATTTTTATAAGAGTTTTTTTTTACAAATATTTATTTAAAAAAAACATTTTAATAACAACTCTTTTTATATTCAATGCAATATTATATTCAGGAAGCTTCAATTTAAAAAAATAATAATTAAAGAAGATTAATGTTTTTTTAGTTAACAATAAAACACATACTAAATATAAAAAAAGAAAAAAAGTATTGCATGTAGAAGTATGTGCCTGAGCACTTCAAATTTCCCAATAAATTTTTTATCATGTGAGTTGTCTTTAGAGATAAAACTCATTATTTTTTCATTAATTTATATTTTTAATAAAAAATTCTTATCATTTATCACTTGTGATATCCCTACTAATATTTGTTATTATTGTCTCATGAAATTTTTCTGTCTTTTTTATATAAACCTTTACATTTTATTAATATTAATAAAAATTCTTCTTACATGTAACTTTTGTACAAATTATTTATTTTCTCTTATCCTTTGCAATTTACATAACAACTAATATCTAGTATTTACTTATAAGAAGTATAATTCTTATAAGGAACCAATTTAAAATATAAAATAAAATAGTTTTCTTAGTATCTTTTCATTCTTACTAATATTAGTTATTAGTAAGAATATAAATAGAAAAAATTAATATATTCGTACTAAATAAATTGATATAGAATAAATTATCATATATAAAAAAAAATAAAAAAATTAAAATCATAGAAAGAAAATTAGTCTATTTATAAGAAGAGACGTGATCATATAAAAAATATAATCGATTTTTTTATTTGCTACATTTTCAGACTACCGGCTGAGGTTTTGGATTTGATACCAATATTTTAGAAACAGATCTAATAAATCTAAATGCACAATTAAATGTATTGGTTTTTTTTTTAAAATGGAGTGTGTACGAGTTATAAAATTTAAATAAAATAGATTGAATGTGTTTGGCTTAAAAAAATATTATAATATAAAAGAAATACTAATGAGTATTGCTTAAAATGGTATGTTTTTTTTTATAAAAAATACATGTATTTTAATTTAATTTATTGAAAATTAAAATCATTAAGTTTTATAAAAAATATTTTCTTTATTTACTTGTGGAACACTTGTTATTAATGATTAATAATATTATTAAAAATGGTAAATAATAGTACACGTGGCTTTGTCCTTATTCTGAACGGCCTCATTTCGAAAATACGTTATTTGCCATATTAGAGTCTGTTTTATGTGGACCCCACTCACAAGACACCCACTCCCACTATAACCGCTGCATTGCAACCTTTCTCCTTCTCTTCTTGTTTCTTTCTCATTTCGTCAATTTCATTCTCACACTACTCTCCAAATGCAAATCAAATTCTAGAAACTTCTTCTCTCATCATCACCTTCATCTTCCAGTTCTATCTTTCACCATCAAAATCTGTAAGCATTTTCTCTGAAACTAATCCTGAAAACCTCACTTCTTTTGAATTTTTCATCATTTCTATGAATTTCTCTGTTTTACATTTTTATTTTCGCGCCTTTCTCGAAACGAATCAACACCATGCAATGTTGAATTCAAGCTAATAAGTGTTTATAATTATATGTTGAAACGTTTACTGTGCCGTTGTTGTTCATGTAATTAATGGATTGATTTTGATTATCATCCTGTAATGTATTACTTGATTGTTGAGTTTGACCTAGAAGTTTTTCAAATGAACTTTCTTGAATTGTTGTTTATTTTTTATTTGTTTTTTTTTACAGGAATTTTTGCTTCCAGTTTCTGTAGTTGAATACGATGGAATTTGAGGCTTCTGATAAGCTAAAAATTTGTGATGCTGATGGAAACTTAAATGTTAAATGGCTTGCATCATGTGCGAAAAGTCCGTTGTGTTCGGAAGTTTTGGAAGTGAAGGAAACTGTTTCTAGTGAAGATTTTGAACTTGAAGATGTTGATGATGATGATGTTGCTTTGTTGCCAAGGTATACTCCGATTTCGAGTTTGGGAACATGTAGTGGTAAATTTGATGGTTCTGTTAAGAAGAGGCTATTTGATGACAGTGATTCCTTGCATATTTCTGCTAAGAAATCGAAGGTGTTATTGTATGATGTTCGCGACGAATATGAAGATGAAGATGGTGATCCATTGTCGGATGGAACTAAAAAGTTGGGAAAATCAGTTGATAAATCATTTTCGTCGTTGAAGAAAGAACTTGAGTTTGTTGAAAAATCATTTGAGGAATGTAAAAGGAAGAGGAAAGAAGAAGAGAAGAGACTGGAGTCTGTAAAGAGAGATATCGAGGAGTGTAGCAGAGAGCTTGTAAATAAGAAGACGCAATTTAGTTGTGTTAGAAGAATTAACGAAGTTCACAGCAAACTACAGGGGAAGATTGAAGAATGTGTCGATGATTTTGTACTAAAGGAAATACAACTTTATTTGATGGAGCTCTTGATTCAAGAGCACAAGCAAGAGCTCAAGATGAAAGTGACGGATCAAGCTAAAGAAATCATTTCAAAAGAAATAGAACTTCGTCAAGTTATTGATGAGGACCGTGGACGGGAGGAAGAGGAACTCAAGGCTCTTTCCCAAAAGATTGCTGAATGTATTGTTGAACGTGAGACCAAAGAGAAGGAGCTTGATGCAATGAAAATATCAATTGATGAACAAGGGGAAAGATTAGAGTCTGAAAGGAAGAAGTTACTGAAGATAATTTCAGTAAGGAATACTAGCCAAGCTCAAATGAAGGAGTTTGAGTCAATGAAGAAACAATTTGAAGATGAGGTTAAGGAACTTGAGTCAACAGAGAAGCAATGTAAAAGACGGGTGGAGGTGCTTCGGTCAAAGGAGACGCAATTAGAAGTACGAGTAAAGGAGTTAGAATCAAGAGAGAAGAAGCTTGAAGGACATGTGAAGCAGTTTGAATCTAAGGTTGAGGAACTTGAAGGTCGTATGAAGGAGCTTGAATCAGAAAAGAAGCATTTTGAAAACTGGGGGAAGGAACTTGCATCGAAAGAGAAGCAAGTTGAAGGAAGAGCAATGAAGCTAGAGTCAAAAAAGATGCAAGTTGAAGGGTGGATGATGGAGGTTGTATCTAAGGAAGAGAAATTTGAAGGCCAAGTGAAAGAGTTGGAGTCAAAACAGAAACATTTTGAAATCCGAACAGAGGAGCTTGACTCGAAAGAGAAGCAACTTGAAAGCCGATTGAAGGAGCATGAATCAAAAGAGAGAGAGCTTGAAAGCCAAGTGAAGGAACTGGAATCTAAAAAGAAGCATTTTGAAAGACAAGTCAATGAGTTAGAGTCAAAAGAGAACCAGTTTGTAGGACAATTGAAGGAGTTTGAATCCAAAAAGAAGGAATTTGAAGTCAACCTGAATCAGTTGGTAAAGGAACTGGTATCAAAACAGAAGCATTATGGTAATCGAACGAAGGTGCTAGAATCTAAAGACAAACAACTTGAAGAAAGAGTAAAGGAACATGAATCAAAAGAGAGGGACTTTGAAGACCAGATGAAGGAGTTTGAATCCAAAAAGAAGCATTTTGAAATCCAAGTGGGGGAGCTTAAATTGAAAGGACAACTTCAGGATGGATTCGAAGGACGAGTGGAGGACCTGGAATCAGAAAATAAGCAATTTAAAAGCCGGGTGAAGGAGCTCGAATGCAAAGAAAAGCAATTCGAAAAACAAATGAAGGCACTTCAAATAAAAGAGGCAGAATTTGAAAGGCAAGTCAAGGAATTTCAATCAAAGGAGAAATTTGAAGAACAAGTCAATGATCTTGAGTCAAAGCTAAATAAATTTGGTGGAAAACTTAAGGAGTCTGAGCTGACAAAGAAACAACATGAACCGTTGAAAAAACATTTTGATAAGGGAAAAGAACCAGGTAAATACTCTTATTCATCTAGCTGGTTGAAAGGATTTCATTTCAAGTTTCAACTCTTTGTTTTAATGTCAATATTTTTAATAACCTGATCTATGTAATTCTTTAAAATAGTTTTAACCATGTTAATGTTGCATGCTTATTCAAGTTGAAAAGCTTCTCCAGTTTTCATATCACCCGCGTCAAACTGTATTTGGATTTATTTTTCACCCTTGAACATTTTATGAATCTCTGAAATGCAAAAAATACTTGTGTTTTTATCCACGGCTAAAGTTTTATTACAATATTATGTTACTGCTAATGATAGATTAGTATATTAATGTAGTTTTAATTTTTCAAGTACCTTGTAAATAGTGTAAATCTTGTGAATCAAAATGAAGGTTCAGTATTCTGACAAACCATGAGGGGAACATATTAGTCCTATCAGTGCAACACTATATCCAATGATTCAGTTAAGGTTCTATATTGACATTGATTGTAAATGTTCTTATAATGCTCTCCTCTGTCACCCATTCATTTAAATATAGGAGGTGTGTTACAGTCTTTAATAGTGTATTGGGTTTTTTAACTGCCTATTGTGACCTTTATTTACGAATGCTTCTATCAATATGAGGGAGCTTAAATATCTGGCTATTCTATCTAAATATGCAGTTGCATCTTACATGGATGATCAATTAAGTCCTACTATGGATGGAACAAGCTTGCAGTTGGACACAAATGAGAAAACTGATGGAGTTGAGTCACTTTGCAATGACATTTTAGTTCATCTGCAAGAGTCATCAGATCCGTCAAGAATTGTTTTGAATATATTACAGAACCCTAGTGTTCCACGGTGTAGAGAGGGAGATAATGATGTGATTATTGATTGTAGCTGCATCTGTCTGCTAGAGCAACTGATGAGAATCTCACCAAATATTAAACCTCGTGTAAGAGAAGAAGCATTGAAGCTAGCACTTGATTTGAAAGCTAAGATGAAAGGAAAAACTGAAAATTCTTTGGTGATTCTTGGTTTTCTACTGATTTTGTCAATTTATGGATTGCTTCCTTCTTTTAATGAACATGATGTTTTGGACCTTTTTGCGTTTGTTGCTCACCACAAGATAGCTATGAAGCTGTTTGAGAGTCTGGGTTTTGCAAATAAAGTTTATGGTATGCTAATTTATAAATTATTTGGTTAGTCACCACCAATATCTGTCCTTTTATCTTTATATGCTTTGGTAAGTTATATCATATCATATGATTATAAAATGTGTGCATATCCGTTGCTACTTTTCCTGCCATTCTATATACGAATACATTTTGAAATATCCATTCAGCCCAATCTGCTTAGTTTTTTGTTTGTTAGAACTTATTTTATATCAGTTCTGATCTCTGAAGCACTGACAGTACGCACCTCTGAAAATAGGCGTGTTAGTATCCGTGTCTGTGTCGAACACCGACACCGAGACTTGTAGTTACATTAAATTGATTCATTTTTTTCTTTAAATTGTTACCGGTGTCAACGTGTCAATGTCGGTATCGTGTCCGTGTCTGTTTCCGTGCTTCATAAGATGTGCTTCATAAGATATGATAAGTTTCGATAAAGTGTAATTTCTTGTAATTTGCAGAATTTGTTGAAAATCTAATCAGGAGGAAGCAATTTGTTGTAGCTGCTAAATTCAGTTGTGCATTTAACGTGTCTGACAAGAAACAGTTAGTTGATATGTTGCTAGAGCACGTTCAGAATGCCAAACTGATTTGCGAGATCCATTGTGAGGAAACCAACTCCATTGAAATCAAGGTTCTTTTATTTTTCTTATTAAAACTCTAATTTATTAAACATTTCATTTGCATACTTATACCCCTGTATGATAGTCATAAATAAAGTGCTATGAACTTGAATTCAGGATAAGGCCAGAGATGAAGAAATTGCTAGTCTGGAAACTGTTCTACAATGCATTTCAGATAACGAGAGCCTAGAATCTGAGGATCTGCTTGACAAGATTCAAAATCGTATTCTTGAGCTAAAAGCACGAAAAGGCAAATAGTCCTTTTGGTACTTAACCTAATGTGAATAAATGTAGTAATGGAAGCTTGCTAACATATATACTACTTTTTTGGGGAACATATTCACTTGTAAATGTCTAGTTAGAAAGAATGAAAACTTTATGATAAAATTAACAGGGTGTTATCTCCATTTCTTGGCTCCATGATCTTTCTTTCTCTGTGCACTAGATTCATGATAACATTAGCTATCTTTTCAATAAATCTCTAACGTTATCTATCTCTTCAATAAATCTTTGATTATCAAAAGTAGATTTATATAACAACGAGAATATGTTATTGAGAATGTCTTTAAAAAAAAGATTCTTTTGAGAGAATATTTTGAATTTTTTTACCAAAATAACCAACTTTTCATCCTTTAAAATTCAATATACCCAACATTTCAACATATTTTTCAATCTATCTTAGTTTTAGGTTTTTTTTATTTGTATAGGGGCGTCATCCTGGTTGGAGACACCCTTATAAATTATAGGGGGCGTCATCCCCTTTGGAGGCACCCTTTAATTTATAAAGGGGGCGTCATCCCCTTTGGAGGCACCCTTATACGATTTTTTAAATTAATTTATAATATTTAATATGTTTAATTAATTTGTTTTAATAATTTTATAAATAATATTAATATTTATTAATAATTAATAAATAAATAATAATTAATATTTTCATTAATAATTTTATAAATAATATAAATATTTATTAACAATTAATAGTTAAATAATAATTAATATTTTCATTAATAATTTCTAAATAATATTAATATTTATTAACAATTAATAGTTAAATAATAATTAATATTTTCATTAATAATTTCTAAATAACAAATAAAAATTAAATTGTATTTAATAATTAATAATAATAAATTAAAAAATAATTAATATTTTCATTTAATAACAAATGGGTACATATGAGAGATTTGGTACACTAATTTCTACGACTAGGTCGGTGTAAATGTTTGTCTGTATCACATCCTCGATTACGTAGGTTTCTTGGTGGTCTTTGTGATGGAGTCGGGTCCACTGTGTCGTCTTCAAGAAATTGAATCACTTCGGCCCATGTAGACGAGTCCATCTCTGTAATGTCATCCAAATTAAAAGGCTTGCCCATGCCTTCATAATTATGTTGGGGTGGTTGGCTGGATGAGGCAATGTCATGACGATAGCTTGCCTGGTCGTAGGGTTTGATTGGGTGTTTGAAACTGGGTGTTAAATTGGTTTGTAGTATCATGGAGTATGTTTGGTATGGTGGTGGATATTGTTGGTATTCGGACGGTGAATAAGTTTGTGTGAATGGGGTGGATTGGTAAGGGGTATGTTCATGGAGTTGTGGTTGTGTGAGTGGGGGTTGGGTTGGCGGTTGTGGCGGTTGAAATGGGGTTGGGTTGGCGGTTGGAAATCGGGTTGGGTTGGCGGTTGGAAATATGGTTCAGTTGGCGGTTGGAAATGGGGCTGGGTAGGTTGTTGGGGTCTTGATGATGAGGCATGTTGGCGTGGGTCAACCAGATATCTTGGATGCGAAATGAAACCAATGGATACAGACCTATACCAATTCATGTATTGGATAGACTGTTTTCTCTCGTATGGAAACACAATGTCGGACAAAATAAAATGGCGGTGATGCTTCCATTCACGACACTCATGTTTTGCATACTTGGTCCATGGAGTATATTCCCATTGGTCGCACTTTACCGGTGTGAAACTTGTCGGGGATGCATTTTGACGGACATGGAATATCTTGCAGCATTCCAAACTGAAGCTTGACACGATCACTGTTGTGCATTTCCACGATGGTGAAGTTGATAATTGGCACCTTTGCACCCCACACTGCAAAGTCATGTTAATGGCTTCTAGACCAAGATATGGCCGCCAAATAAACTATAGGAGAAAAAAATAATATTTAGTATTTTCTAATAATATTCAAGGAGACTATATTCTAAATAGGTAGGTTAGTGAGGGTACATCATCTTGACCCAAATGATCTATAAGATTTCTGTACTGGGTGATACTGAAATGGGGACAGTTGTCGTAAGTAAAAGACTATGAAAGATGGGTCATTCTTGGTCTAAGTAATTACCTTGTAGCGTATGGGAATTCGAAATTATTTTGTTGGATAGGTGATAGATTGGTCATTCTTGACCAACACCAAGCTTGAAGAAGAACACCACATCCGGTAAAATTTCCCGAATTTGCTATTGCATTGTTACACAAAGACCGATATAGGTGTGCTAGTGTAGTGGATCCCCAACTATATGTTCTTATTTTATCTATGTCATCTAATAAAACTAAATACATAGGATGAATAGCGTTACCACTTGAATCCGGACATAAAAATAAACCTATTAATAGCATAATATAAATTCTTGTTTTTCTAATTTTCAATATTTCTGGAGAGTCTCGGGTTAACCTCATCTCTCTAAAAAAAATTTTGAGCCATGATAATAATATTTTTTGGCCCCTCAAATCGCGCGGGGTTGGTTCAACCCCTAAAAGTTCTTCTATCACACTACCACTAGGATTGGTGAGACCGTTTACCGCCTTACCATTAATGGATAAACCCAATAACATGTAGGTGTCCTCGAGAGTAACAACACATTCACCTATTGGAAGATGGAATGTATGCATCTCGGGTCGCCACCTTTCTTGAAGTGCTAAAATGAACTTGGTATCAAGGAGATAATTTTTTATTTTGATGACTTCTCCAAATCCTGCGTGCTCCAAATATGGTTGAATAATCGGGTCATGTGGGAAATATTTATGCCCACGAGTTCGGAAGTCATGAGTATACTACAAATCAATAAAACAAATCATTACAACATTGTATTTATAACAACAATAAAATGCTACAAATCAATACAACATTGTGAATTATCGGGTAACAAATACTTACATAATACGCGATGTTGCTTGGTGTTCCTCTATGCATTTCGCCCAATGTTAACAGAGACATTTCTTCTCTGGACTATATAGTCTGAATATATGAAGAAAATATTGGTAGAATTTGATTTGTTGGATATATTTGATGAGTTTTGACAATGAGGAGGAAGAAGTATTTATAGTAAAAAATTTGAATTTGAATTTTGAATTTTGAATTTTGAATTAACGGTAGAGTGAAAAATTAAATTAGTGTAGTTGAAATATTTATTGATGAGTAGAAAAGTAAATGAGATGGTTGAAGTGTGTAGAGAATCCTCCATACTTGGCATTCTGCATGCATGGAAGTTTTGCTTTTCGTACACATGTCAAGGTGACTCCAACCCCTTTGGCGCCTCCCTTTAACTTTAAGGAAGGGGAGCTAACCCCTATGGTGCCTTCCTTGGGTGCCTCCTTTTACCATTTATTAATATTTTATTCGTGCACTTGTATTATATATGTATACATTGAAGAAAAAATTAAATACATCTCATTTTATGCAAATACATCTCTTACACTTTTATTCAAATATGTCTAGAACAACAAATTATATTGTTCGTGCTCATTTTAATGGAGACACATACATCTCTGAAAATTCCGGTTTTGGGTTTCAAAATACAGATGTTACCCGATTAACAATGAGCAGAAAATCAATTTTTTTGCATTTCAAAGAGCGAATAGAGTCAAAGATATTGTCTGGTCCAATCACTCAAATCATATATAGAAGTCCCGTTTTATTTGACAACAATCAGGTCAAGTATTTTCAAGAGAATATACAAGACGACAGTGACGTTCAACAAATGTTTGATAGTCATGAACACTCTGGGTTCAACTATATCGAGGTTTATCTATTACTCTGCCATACTCAATATGAAGTTGGTGAATCTCACGATAAAGCAACGGATCTAGATGAAGTTGATGTTGTGGACAAGGAGGAAGAAGAACCTAAGGCCATGGTTGATCAAATGGTTAATTTGTTCGGGACTGGGGACTACACTGCAATGACTCCACTGCAAGACATAGATGAAGAGGCACTACCATTAAGTCATGTGTATTGTCCTCCCCAACACATGACTAACTTGCAATTGAGTGGAGACGATACTTCCTCAGATTTTTTCTACAATCCTTCTCAACAAATTGAAGGTGTTTTGAAAGTGGGAAACCAGTACCGCACAAAAGAAGAGTGCATGAAAGCTATAAGAAAGTTTCATATGGATAACTTCGTTGATTTTTACATCAATCAGAACGACTCAAAACGCTATGTCGTAGTTTGTCGTAACGAAGGTTGCAAGTTTCGGTTAGCAGCGTCCTATTGGAAAAAAAGTGATTGTTGGGAGATAGGTTCGATGGATCCACCTCATAGTTGCACAACCAACATCAATCGGCAAGATCATGGAAAACTAAGATCTCAATTGATATCCCAAGAGATTTTGCATCTTGTAGGCGTAAATCCATCTGTGAAGGTGAGCACGATTATCTCTCATGTTGTTACACGGTTCAACTATACCCCATCGTACATGAAAGCTTGGATTGGAAGAATAAAAGTGGTTGAACATGTATATGGGAATTGGGAAAAATATTACAATCAACTTCCACAGTATTTACTAGCACTTCAAAAATATGTTCCTGGTATGGTTGTAATATTGGAGTCACTACCAGCATACACTCCTGAAGGAACATGTGTTGATGGAAGCAGGATATTCTCTCGTCTCTTTTGGGCATTTCAACCATGTATCAAAGGTTTTGCTTTCTGCAAACCGGTTATTCAAGTCGATGGAACATGGTTGTATGGAAAATACAAAGGAACATTGTTGATGGCGGTTGCACAAGACGGAAATAATAATATATTTCCGATTTCCTTTTCCCTGGTCGAGGGTGAGACAGGTGAAGCTTGGATTTTCTTCCTCAGAAATCTCAAAACACATGTCGCTCCTCAACCCAACTTATGTCTGATTTCCGACATACATGCTTTTATTGTAAGCGCCTACAACAATCCTGCTAATGGTTGGCACAATCCTCCTTCTGTCCATGTCTACTACATAAGACACATTGCTCAGAATTTTATGTGGGAAATTAAAGACATAAATCTCCGTAAAAAAGTTGTGAACGTTGGGTATGCCTTAAACCAACCATCGTTCATGTATTACCGCGAAGAAATAAGATTGTCAAGTGCGGAAGCATTAAGGTGGGTGGATAGCATTCCAGTCGAGAAATGGACAAGGTCTTTTGATGGAGGATGCAGATGGGGTCACATGATCACAAATCTTGTTGAATCCCTAAACGACGTATTTAATGGAACTAGGAACCTCTCCATCACTGCGTTGGTAAGAGCAATCTATTACAGATTGGGGTCACTTTTTGCGGCAAGAGGCAAAAAATGGAGCGCTGTTTTGGAATCAGGGAAAATATTCAACGAACCATGTATGAAATATATGAAGGATGAAACTTCTAAGGCGGCCTCACATCGAGTTAGACCATTTGATCGTCACGATTACAGCTTCATTGTTGATGAGACAATGGATTACAACGAGGGTCGGCCAATGGGACACTACAGGGTGGAACTTCATAAAAATTGGTGCGACTGCGGAAAGTTTCAAACCTTCCGCATGCCTTGTTCACATGTCATTGCCGCATGTTCCAGTGCTCGTCACGATCCATTCTTGCAACTATCAGAAGTTTACAAGGTCGTGAACTTATTTGGTATCTACAATAACAGTTTTCCAGTGGTAGCTAGTGAGGACTATTGGCCAACCTATCATGGAGACACAATCTACCACAACGAAAATATGAGACGAAACAAAAAGGGTCGCCCCAAAAGCATGCGAATTACAACTGAAATGGATACAACTGAGAAAATAGAAAGATTGTGCGGAATATGTCGTCTTCCCGGGCATACGAGGAATAATTGTCCAAATGTTGGAACAAGTTCTAGATATATTTACTTTCGTCATTAAAAAAATGTGTAACCTTGGAATTTAATATTTATAACAACTTTTGATTACCACATAAACAAATTGAAATACTTCCAGAGCAACAATGCAAATAATTAAATATATTACAACATAAACTAAGATATAACAACAATCAAAGTAATATCATCAGTTCCGAATATCATAGACCTAACTTTGTTGTCATCTTTAATTCGCAACCACTCCCGCCGTATATTTCTGTCTTCAACAGAGAAGCACGAAACAAGTCTTTCAATACTCCTAATGCTTTCACCATTTGGAATGTCTCCTTCTAACCAGCGATTCAAATTTCTTCGTAGTTGCTCTAAACTCTGGATGTTCCAAAATAACATCCTTATCGGAGGCTTAGTTCTTGAGAAAATGACATGCCCATATCTTCTAAGATACATGACTCACTCTCCTAAATTTTGATGAAACAATGTTAATTTGGATGAAACAAGTCTAACTATTTATACAAAAAAATTTGGTCTAAAATAGTATTAAATATTAATTATATTAAACAAAATAAAGGGGGCTCCAAAGGGGATGACGTCCCCCTTATAAATTAAAGTGTGCCTCCAAAGGGGATGGCGCTCCCCTATAATTTATAAGGGTGTCTCCAACCAGGATGACGCCCCTATACAAATAAAAAAAATGTAAAATTAGGGTAGATTGGAAAATATGTTGAAATGTTGGGTATATTGAATTTTAAGGGGTGAAAAGTTGGTTATTTTGATTTAAAAAATCGAATATTTTATTATATATCACTAATATAAATATTCCCACTACTTAAACACTTTACTAATAACTGAACCATCATACTAGGTGAATAATATTAGTTGTGCTATATTATATATATTATATATTATAAATAAAGAGGCTCATTTTATAAATGAAAATCCAATCAATCAACTCTTTAATTTTATAAGATATAAAAAATAATAATAAATGTAAAATTAGAATAATAAAAAAATATATTATATTTTAACAATAAACACTAGTCTTCTTAATCTTTCTCTTATAAATCCTTCGAATATTGGGTTGCACCCTTATGTGTTCTCTTTTACCAACATGAAAACTCTCAAATGCTCTTTTTGTTTGAAGATGAATCTCTGAACACTCCGAACACACTTTTTTCACACATATCTGAGACAAAAATATTTTAAAAAAATTTATTCTGTTAAGATTTAGTTCGAAGATGCATCTCTGTATGCACAAAGAGTTATTTCAGAGATGTATCTCTGTATGCACAAAAGATTATTTTGGAGATGCATCTCCGAAACCCCCTTATTTTATTATTCTGTAAACTTTTCGGCGATGTATCTCAGGAATATGTTATGTTAGTTCAAACAAGAAACGGGTCGAAACAATGGCAAAATGAAATAAAAACATAAATTAACATCAAAATAAATATTACATAGATAAACATTACATAAATTTAAAATTACATATCATTACAAACAATAATTTCAGGATGTAACATCCTTATAAGCCTTTGTTGAGTAACAGTAAAAGGTATTCCATGTAACCTTCAAATCATCATCTTCTTCGGTTCAAGCATGGTGAACTGTATATTCCCTTCATTGTCAATCGAATGTGAATGGTACTCGAGCTTGACAACTCTTCGATTTTTTGGATATCGCATGAGAGTATTCAGTTAGGATTTAAGATCGACAAAAAATATGTCATCGAAGACCCTAAACTGAAGTGGGGGATTTACGCCATTGAATATTTGCTTTGGAGAGTGCGGGTGTATTGGGGCCTTGGAATGGTTGAAGGTAGTCTATGTGTTGTAATAATTTTTACATAGTGTTATTCTCTGGTTGTCATTTGACAATGACTGTGGTTTTTTCTTCGGTTTTGGAGTTTCCACGTTAATCTCTTGTGTTGTTATTCTATTCTTTTTTTTCTTTCCATGCTTTGTTTTTCTTAACAACGGGTATCAAGAGCCTTGATTTGGTGGGGTATAAATTTTTTTAGTATGCTTTGTGGTTGCAGTTTTGCATGATCTTCCACATCAGAAAAGAAATTTTATACTCTGTGTTGGTTGGGAAAATTTTGTTTTGCTGTAGGAAAGGTTTCTGTTGAAATGCCAAGTTTTTAAAGTCCAATGAAGATTAACTTAGAGAAATTTGATGGAAGAATTAATTTTGCCTTGTAGAAAATTAAAGCCAAAGATGTTTTGATATAATTAGGATTACACAAGGCATTGAAAGAAAACATTTCCAACATGGACAACGAGAAGTGGGAGGAACTAGATTTGATAGCTTCGAGTATAACCCACATGTCTTTGGCTAAGAATATTCTTGCGAATGTTCTTGGTATATCGTCAGCCAAAAAGCTTTGAGATAAACTTGAAGGGCTATATCAAGGAAAAGGTATATCAAGGAAAAGGTATATCTAATCGTTTATTGTCGAAGGAGCAGTTTCATAGCTTACGTATGGATGAACATACGAAAGTATCTGATCATCTAAGTGTTCTAAATAGTATTGTTTATGAATTAGAAATTATTGGAGTCAAGATTGATGATGAAGATAAAGATTTGAGACTCATATGGTCTCTTCCATATTCTTATCAGCATATTAAATCTGTTTTAATATATGGGAATGAAACTTTGAGCTTTGAAGAAGTTTCTAGTAAGATTATTTCTGAAGAAAGAAGATTGAAGGGTGAGGAAAATACTTCATCAAACTCGGTGTTGGTTGCTAGAGGAAGGTCATATGTGAAGAAAAACAATGAAACGCATTTGAAATGTTGGAAATGTGGAAAGCTTTGACATACAAAGTATAAGTGTCCTGATGGGGCAGCGTCAAAGAAGGGTTTTTAGTCAAATGTTAGCAATGTATCTCTCGCTGTAAGAGAAGATGCTCTTCTCTGACAATTGAGAAATGTGTCCTCATGAAATTTCCGGTGTTATGGAAAAGGAAGAGTTATTGCTAGCAAATTAAGACATGGGTTGAAGAGCTTCTGACCAACATGGAAGTTGCACCATAAAGTTTCAACCTGGTTTTCGACATGGGAAAATTCTTGAAGTAGTTTAATTTCAAGTGAAGTATACTCTTCTTTAGGTGGAGTATAATAGTTCTTTAAAACTACGATTGTCGGTGAAGACAATGTGAAAATTCTTGAAGTGGTTTGGCTTCAAGGGAAATATACTCTTCTTTAGTTGGAGTATGATAGTTTTTTTTAAAATTATGATTGTCGGTGAAGACAATGTGAAAATTCTTGGATTGATGTTGCTTCAAGTGATATACTATTTATGGTGGAGTATGATTATCGGTGAAGACAATGAAAACTGATGTATTATTTTCAATCAAGGTAGAAATCATTGGGGTTGGTTGAAAATATAGATGTTGAAAAAGTCCCACATCGCTTAGTTTTATGAATGAAGAGAGTTCAAGGTTATATATAGAATACAATTTCTTTGAAGTCCCACATTGCCTAGCTATATATATATATATATATATATATATATATATATATATATATATATATATATATATATATATATATATATATATATATATATATATATATATATATATATATATATATATATATATATATATCTGTGTGTGTGTGTGATTCAAGTTCTTCATTCCAAGATGTATCAGTCAAAAGAACTTTAAGTTTGTATTTGACTTTTTATATTTTCTATTATACTCTTGGTTTAAAGTGTTGTTAAAGGTAGTTAAATATTTTCTTTGGAGAGTGCGGGTGTATTGGGGTCTTAGGGTGGTTAAGGGTAGTATATATGTTGTAACAATTTTCACATAGTGTTATTATCTGATTGTCATTTGACAATGGCTGTGGTTTTTTCTCCAATTTTGGAGTTCCCATGTTAATCTCTTGTGTTGTTATTGTGTTCCTCTTTTTTCTCTATGCTTTATTTTTCTTAACAGTCCATAGATGCGTCTTCGGATTCACACAAAAATTATGCAGTTTAGGACCAATGTATTATGTAGAGCAAAATTTCAAAACACTAAAATTGTCCTAAAAATACCACCTAGTTTTATAACATTATGTAGTGCGTTGTATACAAAAAAAGTGTTACATTATTAAATTACAACTATAATGCATCAAAGCATATGTCACTGGCTAAATTATTTGGCAATTCATTCTTAGATATTTTCTTATTTGTTTATCTTTCAATTTCTCTTAACATGGTGAACTTCTTCATCCTTTCTAAAAAGTGATCCGGTCAAGTTTCAGCATCTTGTGTGAAATATGCTCTCCACTCCAATGATATCTTTGGTATATGACATCCCGATTTTAAATAAACCTGGACAAAATGTTATTTTTTGATAGTCAACCAATACACATGATGTATTCTGATGAATTTTGAGGTGGCTTACTTCGAAGTGGAAAGAACGTTGCCGATAAACCATATCGTGTTAAAGTAATACACACCCTATCATAAGCACTTGTTATAAGGTGTTCTATTTTCGGGAAGCACGTCCATTTTTCAAACAGAGCCGAACACGTAAGACAAGGAACTAGAGCATTGAGAATTGCATCGTAATTTGATTTGTTCCCATATATCTTTGTGTATGATTCTATATGCTTCTTCATCTCTTGTATAACATGATGATAGACAAATTGGTAGTCGTCCTATCCAAATTTTTCGGCATCCCTACAGACCCATTATAGCATATGCACGAACAATAAACACATATTTATTTCTAAATTATGCACAAACATCTACCTCGACAATAATCGATCGAGCACCCGGTTTAACATCATCATTCACTTCATCTGGTCTAATATCATGCTTCACTTCGACCGATTTAACATCCACACTCACAATATTTTTGGGAAACATATCCAGGTGCACCATATATAATACCACCAATAATAGAAAGACAATATTAAAAATTAAATTAATAGCACAATTCTGATATGCACATCCGGACCACACCAAACTTTATCCAGAGATGCATGACCGGATTCAACGTCCATTTTTTCAGCTCATAAACAAGATTAATGCAACGAACGAGGGATAAAATGAATAAAATTTATCTTCAATTTCAATTTGTTTTGCTCTCTTTGATGTGATGAAATACAAAAATGTTTTTTTAGTGTTGAAGAGGTGATTGAGAATGAAAGAAACTTTTTTAAGGGTTTTGAAAATGGAGTGTTGTTTGAGTATGGAGAAGAAGATCATGCAAGATGATGTTTTATCCAATTTTCCGTTAGACATTTCCGGATATGAATCTCGAAAAATATCGATGAGTCGTTAATTTAACCAGTTCAATTAATAAAAACACAATAATTGAGTGCAGAGGCTATTTTAGAGATACATCTCCAGATACACCCAAATATTATACAGAGATGCATTTCTGCACCATGTTTTGTTTTTGCAAAATGGGCTGAATCCCATAAAAGTGAAGATTGTTGTGATTTTGGGTGCGCCCGAAGATCATGAAAGGCATTTTCGAGTTTCCAAAGAGTGTGGAAGGCACTAATAAAGATAAAAAAAACATCCTTCTAATCTTATCCTTAGTTGGTTTCCCATTAATATCCATTTTCTTGAAGAAGAATCTTGTCCTTAATATTCGGTCAAAGAATACATACCTTGATTATGAACTTTGGAAAATAGACAATAAGAATACATTCCTTAATAAAAGTATTCTCAAGTATATGTATAAGACACCCTGAGTTTTTTTTCTTCTATCCAAACGGTGCTAGAAAGATATGCATGATACAAAGATTCATTTAGGGGTTAGGTAAACTTTAAGAAGTAGGAATATTCATTTTGATGAAGTTATAAGACAAATTTGACTAAAGATAAAACTTGTGTATACAAGAAATCTAATGGGAACAAATTAGTATTTCTGATCTCATGCAAATATGACATATGACCCGATCGTACCTGATCAGAAAGGAATCAGTAGCCTGCCACACGTCGTGAGTTGTTGCCTTCATTGGTGTTGTAGAAGAGAAAAAGGGTGTACCTGCAAGATGCTCCGATGCTTAAGTGAGTAACGGAACTAGAGAGAGAGAGAGAGAGAGAGAGAGAGAGAGAGAGAGAGAGAGAGAGAGAGAGAGAGAGAGAGAGAGAGAGAGAGAGAGAGAGAGAGAGAGAGAGAAAGTACAGAGAAAAGGTGTAGTGAATAAGATATCTGACCCTCTAGTGAAAGAGGGTATTTATAATGTGCCTTCAGCGCAGGGCCAACGGTTATATTGCAGTGGGCCAAATTGCCAAGCCCAATACATGTAACTGCTAGGGCTTACGTGGAGTAGTGAAGACCAACACGTGGTCTTCGCCTTGGACCAACTGCCCCGTAATCTTTAGAAGGTGGGCTGACCAACTCTTTCGGAAGTGGGTAGTTTCCTGATGACGTGTTCCCGTGTGGGGTGCACGTGGAATCCGTGGGGAAAGCGCGTGAGCTCTCCCCGTGCAAGATAATGCTCTGCCCGACTAGTGTGACTTGTTGAGGCTTGTGCCCGATAGAGAGGATTGAGCCTTGTTAGGCCTCATCAGCATAGTATTAGGTTGGGCATGCCCGTCTAAGGGACAGGTCTCGGCCCAGTCCATAACAGGAGCCTCTCAAGTCATTGCTCCTAGGTGGATGAGTAATGACTTAAAGGCATGTCAAAATGTCGAGGACCTCTTCGAGAGATGGTATTTGCTTGATGCATAGAATTTGGAGTCGTATACCTGATCGGGAACGGAGGATACTCGATGGGACAACATGTCGGGGAGGTGGACAACATGAAGGATGTGCTCGCTCTCTGAGCACGAAAGTGAGACAAATGGATGCGAAACTTCTAGTGCTGTAATGTGTCAGGCAATCATTGCTTAGCTAGGGCGGCTAGGGGTAGGGGCGTTTAAGGGCCTAGGGGCGTCTCGAGTCCCGTGCTAGGCTTATAAATAAGACCGAGTTCGCTTTAGTTCTCACTTTTCTCTTCTATCGTTCAAGACACTTCCTCTTCTTCTTGTCCCGCTTCTCAAACTTTAGCATCGAGACGTCTGTCGTCTGCCGCTGTATCGTCCTCCTAGAACCGTCGTACCAAGTATGTCTTGCTGCCTTACCCTTGTTTTTCCTATTTTCTGACGGTTTCTCCGGTGGACTTGATGAATGCCCTGGGGAGATTGTGAAGTTTTCAACAAACACGCTGGAACTTCTTTAAATTAGTGTAGAGTTAGGATGAAGCTCTCGGGGACCAACGATAAAGCCCCCGGGGACATAGGATAGTTTTGGATGAATCTCCTGGGGACAAGCGATGAAGTCCTAAGGGACGTAGGATACTTTTGGATGAACCTCCCAGGGACAAGAGATGAAACCCCCGAGGACGTAGGATAGTTTTGGATGAACCTCCCGGGGACAAACGATGAACGTATAAGGGGACCTCTCTCATCTATCGAGGCGGGAGAGGCCCTGTCCCTAGGGGTCTCCCCTATTCTCCCTTTCACTTGATCTGCGGTGGAAGGGTGGATTTGATCTGGAATTTCGAATTCATCAATTTCTTCTACTTTTTAGGTGTAAATGGCTGCTTGGGTGTAAGGGGTTATTAAAACCGACGACGAGCCTGATTCCCCGATGGCATAGGCCGGTGAAGAGCAAAAAATGTTTGTTGCAGATTGGGCCGGGCAGAAGCCTCTGAGTGTCTCTTCTCGCTTTACCATGGATGAGTCCAACGCCTATGCTAATGTCGAAGACTGCTGTAAGGGTTCCCCTATGAACTGGAAGGTGTTCAAACCATGAGCAAACCATCGGATATGCTCGGCTTATAAGGGGATGAGGTTCCCCATGTATGAGTTTACCTTCCGGG